CACTTCATCAACCTCCTGGATACTAAAAATCATGGACTAAATATAGACATTGGATTTATGACACATTATAACCTGCCTGACAGCTGACTCCCCAGGTATCTCTCCACTTTCATTCCCCTTCTTTCTCTTCCCCCTGACCTAGAGTGGTCCCTACACCCTCTACCCACTGCAGCAGTTTGGTAGTGGAGGCTGCTGCCTGGCTGTGACCTGCTGCTCCCTGTGACAGCATCTTCCCCCTTGGACCTATGGCCCCATGGCTGTGCACCTGCCAGACCCTGATGGGGACCGCACGGCCTGGGGCTCTGATACGGGCACTACAGCAGAGCCACCTGCACCTCTGGGCCAGCTGCCAGCAGGCAGTGCCTGCACAGTTGGCCTTCATGTGGCGCTGCTGTCATGTCTTCCGGCGGTCCTACTCTGCCATCTGGGCAGCTATCACCCAGCAGGTGTGCTCATTGTAGTGGACTGCTTTGAACTATCAGTGTGTGTCCTCCTGGCCCCAAATAGCCAGGAGGTCAGCCCCCTTGTCTGCCCTCCAGCTGGGCCCCTGGTCCAGCTAGGACCCAGGCAGAGAAGCTGGCCCTGGGCAGGCTTATCTGCCTGGTCCCCCCCACTTGCCTCACCAGCTTGGGATCCTGGTTTTCTCTGTTTAAAATTCTAGACTTCTCTGATTAAAAAACCCAACATCTGCATTTTTCTGCATTTAAAATAAAATGCCACTATATATACAGGTATCAGTTGAGCACAATGTTTTATTTATATATTTACAATTTTAACCCATTTGGAAGCCTACCACTGCCTCAATCATAATAATAAAATAAATTCTAACTACCTATATATTTTGGCATTTGCTTTTGGTTTTCTTATCATAGGAAATCAGAGCTTTCCCCTTTGCTTACCAGGATGTGGGTCGAGCTGCGGCTGTCCCCACAGCTTCTTTGTGATGCTGAGCAGCACTGATATGCCGGTGCCCTGCCCCTGCCCATGCCCTTGTCCCTCACTCCCAGCCCACAGCCCTGGCAGTGTCCCTCACTCCTCACCCACAGCTCCTACCTTCCCCCTACTCTCTCCCTCCCAGCAGCAGCTTCTTCTCTGTACCAGGATACAGGTCCAGCTGCAGCTGCCCCAGCCACTGCTTTGTGGATCTAAGTGATTCCAGCCCTTGCTGTTCTGCTTCTTACACCTGTTCCCAGGCCCCAGTGATCCCCATGTCCTTCCTGGCAAGCCCCTTGCCTTTCAAGCCAGCTTCCCCCTGCACAGGCTGCTCTAGGGGGCTCCAAGCCCAGCTCTGATGGCTGCGTCTATCTGGGTGCTCATGGCCCGCAGCAGGCAGAGCCCCCTGATGGCGCATGGCTTCAGTTGAGTCCTGGGGGCTGCCTGTGGCAGTACAGAGCTGGCTCGGCCCACTGGTGCGCATCTTCAGGCCAGACCAGGTTGACTTCATGCCAGCACATGAGGCTCCCAGCACTGCAGGCAGGAGCCACACGCCATCGAGCCGGGCTGAGCCAGCTTTGTGGTTCCATGTGGGGCTTCCAGCAGTGCAGCGGGGAGCTGCATGTGGCGGCATGGAGCCCGATGGTGCATGAGTCCCCATGGCCCTTGGTCCATGCACCATCAGGCCAGGCAGGCCCTGTGCTACCACGTGTGGTTCCCCACTTGAGATCTGGAAGCCCCAGGTGGAGACACAGGGGTGGCCCAGTCTGATGGCATGCAGCTCCCGCCTGCAGTGCCAGGAGCCCCACGTGGTAGCACAGGGCCAGCCTTGTATGGTCTGAAGGCATGCACCAGCAGGCCAGGCCAGCTCGGTGCTGCCACTTGCAGCTCCCGGGACTCAGCTGGAGCTGCATGCCACCGGGGAGCTCTG